CTGTGCGTTTCCCCGAGGAGCCGGCGAGGACACACCTTCATCACTCGCCAACCTCTCCACTCGCTTTCACACTAATCCACGTTCTCTTTATTAACACAGCTGAGGAGAATTTGGCCAAAGATGTTTGCACAAGGTTCTGTATAGAAAAACAATGTATGCAGTTTTCTGTAAATCTGTTTGAGAGTAAAAACTGTCCAAATGACCACGTCAGCCGCCATCTTCAAAGACGACAACAAAACAGCAAAAAGGCGGAGTCAGTCTGCGATCAGCCTGCTGCATGTTTGCCTCTGGATCAGGTCAACGTGCTGTGTGATAATATGGTGATTAACTGACAAATCAGGGGGAAACTTACCGCTGCACCAAAACAGAAAACTGCATCTAAATGAAGAGAAATTCAAACATCGCACATGCAACATATTTTAACGGTCAGTGCAGATTTGCAGCTGAGCAGCCGCCATCAGGTCATCGAAATAAGCCGTGGAGACCAAGAAACAAAGTCTCTGTAACCAAGCAACCAATTATTTTAACATATTCTTCATTTTACATAATCAAACAAATTTGTTCTATTATTAAAATCAGTAAATTTACCAGATCCTGACCGAACGTCCGACTCAGACTGACAGTGTCTGCGTTCAGAAATCAGACTGTTTGGAGATAGGCTGCCGCCCATCAGGTGACCTGTGACCTTTCAAAAACCGAGCTTGAAGACATGCTGCACGTGAACAGCCACTTAGCAGATACACCTGCGTGTCAATTTGAAGCTCCTACGTCGCCTCGTTCTCGACTTATCGCAAACACACCGTGACGACGACCGCCCGCCCGGCAGGGTGGCGAGAACGCGCGTCAGCCTTTTACAGCTGAGGGGTAAAAATCTCCAGAAGGTGAGAATGATGTCTGAATAGTTTTTGGGGGGTTGGTGTCAAAAAAAACAAAAGAAATACTGCAGCACATTAAAAGGGCTCGAGCCTCATCCAGCGACGGCGACGCCCGGAAACACGGTCGATACGTCAGCGTAATGCTGCCTTTCACTGGTGTTTGTGAGCCTTTTTTCCCCTTTCAGTGTCTGATTAGCGACTGTACCAGAGATTACATGACAGCTGTTGGTTCTGATTTATTGTTCCAATCAAGGTCGGCATGAGCAACACCGGTGGGCCCGACTGTCTCCCTGAAAGTGGCGTGATTTGTCATCCCAAACGAGGACTATCTCCATATAAGGCGACACGCACACACACTGACAGAAAGTCAAGCTGTCCTGCTGTGAGTTACTGACTCGTAGCCGTGCAGCGTGGCATACAGCCGCTCCTCTAATTGAGTTTACACACCAGTGGAAGGAGAGTGTCAGGACAGCCGACACACTTGCAGCTCCCTGCGGCGGCCGGGTCACGCTGGATCGCCGGCTCACTTCAGAGGAGCCAGCGCTGGAATAATAACACAAGGAGGGCATCCGCCATCCCAAAGGGCTGACCCACTGTGCCAGAGGAGGCAGCTGCTGCACAGCGTGGGATGGATTATTTGTTAAAGTCAGAAGTGAAACTCTCGTGCAGCAGGTCAGAAATCAACGCTCGGGGGGGTTGGAAGAGCAATCTGTTCGGCTTCAGCGGCTGACCTCAAATACTTAAGCTTCTGAGACGTTTTCAAGGTCAGGTCCTTTAAAAATGTATCATCCCAGCAACGTCAGCCTGACCTCGCTAGATCAGGTTCTTTACGCTGCTTTGAGTTACTTTAATCATATGCAGAGCTGCCACGTGCACCGTTTACTGCTAACTGATAACATTCATGTCTCTGTGTGTTCTCATCCATCATTGAGAAATTAGAAAACATGGAAGTGTTGTTCATAATAAAATATTCATCAGGTTTCTCTAAAAAGGACCTGAGATGTTCGCTTGGCCTTCGTGATCCCCACAGTTCACCCTCTGTCTCTTTAAGGCCTTCTTTCCTCTGATTGGCTGCCCCTCGCCTGCTACTAAAAACATCAAATATTCTTCTTGAAACAAACTGATGATGATGATTACAACGTTTTACTTTGGACATATAAAAGAAACAAACAAAAAAATACAAATACATAGTATGGGCTGAAATCTGTGCCATCAGAAACTGAATTGGAATAAGTTGAATGTGAATTTGAATGGCTCAGATTGAATCTGAATTGTAACTTGAATAAATGCTTTTACAAACTGAATATGAATTAGCCTAATTTGAAATTCAATTTATTGGTTTGAAAATGATCATCACTAAATTGAAATTGAATTTTATATTTTGAAAATGAATTCATTTGCTTTGAAACTGCATTTTATCCTTTAAAAATTCAGCTCTC